GAGGGGTGTGAGGACCACCTGTGTGGCCATGGATCAGACAGAAGGCACAAAAGCAATGGGAGATTGATAATGAACTAGGACTATGAGCTTAAATCCTTATTCTTCTTTTTCATACCCTAATCTATAGACATGACAAGTAAACATGTTGGTTATTTGAAAAGATATTTATTTTTGGAGGAAATAAAGGAAATTTCCTTTTTTCTTTATTTCACATTTATGTCCACTGTGGCCAAGGCAGAGCCTAAGGAAGGGATACATATGCACACACACACAGGCAGAGGAGCGAACTTCTTTTTTTAAATACGTAGGTCAATCAAGGAATAGACACCAGACCCAAAAAAAAAAAAAATGCTTATTAAACAGGTTGTACTGTTAGCTCTTTAGAAACCTCAAAGAAAAGGATAGCACATTTCCCCAGACACATCCATTTGCAATGATTTACAAAGAGAAGCAAGAGATACAGCACACATTCTGTTTTCTCTCTGTGGTGCTATGGGGTCTTATGCTGAGCTCAGAGGATTCCAGTACCGAAAGTCCCTCTCCCGAATACTTAGCTCACTGAAGTCTGAGAAGATTATACTTAATACTAGAGGCCTGGTGCATGAAAATTCATGCACTGGAAGGGGGGTCCCTCAACCCGGCCTGTCCCTCTCATTGTCCGAGAGCCCTCAGGGATGGGAGGCAACACAGTGATCAGAGGAAGGAGAGCAGTTAGGAGCAACGCCAGCCTGGGCCAGCCCTGGTTATCTGAACCTGGGGCGGCCCTGGGTGGCTTAGCAGTCACCATCTGAGGCTTACCTGTGTCTTGGACCAGCCCTGGGCGGCTAAGCAGCAGCCTGTGCCTCAGGCATCAGCTGGGAAGCCACCATTCAAGGTTTGCCTGCACCTCAGGCCTGCCCTGGATGGCTGGGCAGCCGTCATCAGAGGCTTGGTTGTACCTGGGGCAACCCTGGGTGTCTGGGAGACTAAAAGGACTGGGGTGAATCCGGAGGCAGGCACGTAGCTGTAGGCACAGCCATCTTTGAGGGCAGGACAGCATATTCCCTCCTAATTGGCTTTGAGGGCAGGACAGCATATTCCCTCCTAATTGGCTGTGCCATTTTTTCGGGCAGGCAGTCAATTAGCATATTTCCTCATTATTTGCTCTGGGTGCCTCCATCTTTGTGATGGTGTGAGGGTTAATTAGCATATCCTCTATTAGATAGAACTAGAGGCCTAGTGCATGAAATTCATGCACTGGGGATCGGGGGTCCCTCAGCCCTGCCTGTGCCCTCTTGTATCCCTCCTCTTGTATCCCTCTCACAATCTGGGATCCCTCACTCCTTACTGCCTGCCTGCCTGCTCACTCCTTACTGCTCGGCTCACTACTCCTTAGTGCTTTTGTGGAGGTGGGGGAGGCTCCCACCAGCGCTGCTGGGCTCACCAGCCTTGAGCCCGGCTTCTGGCTGAGCGGCCACTCCCCCATGGGAGTGCACCGACCACCAGGGGGCAGCTCCTGCATTCACTCAGTGTCTGCCCTTGGTGGTCAAAGTATTCATCATAGCAACCAGTTGTTCTGGTCATTCTCCATTATGGTAACTTAGGCTTTTATTATATAAACTAGTGGCCTGATGCGTGAAATTTGTGCATGGGGGGGGGGGGGGGATGAGGTTCCCTCAGCCCAGCCTGAACCCTCTCCAATAGGACATCCGTCCCATAATCTGGGACCACTGACTCCTAACCACTCACCTGCCTGCCTGCCTGATCACCCCTAACCACTCACCTGCCTGCCTGCCTGATCACCCCTAACTGCCTCTGCCTGCCTTCCAAATTGCCCCTAACTGTTCTCCTTTGCCACCTGATCTCCCCTAACTACCTCTGCCTGCCTGACTGGCCCTAATTTCCCTCCCCTGCTGGCTTGATCTCCCCCCAGCTGTCCTCCCCTCTAGGCCTGATCTCACCCCCAACTGCCCATCCCTGCCAGCCTGATACTCCTAACTGCCTCTGCCTTGGCCTCGGCTCCCACCACCATGGCTTTGAAGGAGGTTGGACATCTGGAAGATGACCAGTAGACCTAGTCTAACTAGCATATTACCCTTTTATTATAGATAGATTATATAGGATAGGATTGCTTAAATGAGGGGAGGGGGGTTTAAGAATGAGGAGATGCTACTGGCAGACAAAAATACATAATTTCTATATCTGGACTGATAGCCAACCATATGCACTATACTGCCAAACCGGTCATTAAAAAATTGAACCACTTTCTTACACCTTACACCAAATAGCTACTGCCCTTAAAACCCCTCCTCAGCCCCACCTTAGGTTCTGCCTTTGCAGTTCACCCAGATTAGGTTCTGATTGGTTGGTTTCTATACCAGTCAGCATCAAAAGCCCCGCCTCCTAGGCAGCCATTGGCTCCTCGCAGTTCACCCAGATTTGGTTTTGATTGGTCAGTTTCTATGCCAGCCAATGTTTCCAGGCCTATCTCTGGGCCTGATAGGAGAGGTGAGGCTCATCAGCAGCTGCCACAGAGGCTGCAGATTAGACCATGCTTCTCTCTCCTGGCCTCTCTATGGGCCTCATCCGCAGCCTCCTCAGCAGTCAGTGCTGGGTTGCCACGCCTGCAGGACTGCCTTCTACAGCACCAATCCAGCACTGACTGCCACAGGGGCTGCAGATCAGACCCTGATTCTCTTCCTGAGCCTCTCTCTGGCCTCATCCGCAGCTCCCTCAGCAGTCAGTGCCGGGTCGCTGCTGTGCCTGAAGCATGGCAGTCAATGCTGTATGGCCGCAGCATCCCAGGACTGACTGCAGGACTGACTTCTGGTGTTTGGTCATCTGTTTAGTCGTTTTGGACATTACGGACCCTGTTTCTTTATATATATAGATTTTCCTCCAAGAGTCAGGAACAAAAACTGGTATTAATGGGTGGATGTTCCATATTACTTTCTTCTCTTTCCTTCTAAGTTTCTTTCTGAGTCATAGCCCATTTCTAGTCTGTTTCTCCTCCATGAGGCCCCAATGACTCAATTTTACTGCTTTTAAAACTTACCTTCCTGTGAGAAGCCTTTCAAACTGACCCCTATTTACAGTAACCACAGTTTGTGTTATTTTATGCCTGTGTATTATTTTCCTGATTGCCCAGTAAAAATCTTAAAGGTATCGCATGTGTACGTGCGCGCACACACACACACACACACACACACACAAATATATATATACACAAAGGAGCTAGAATGAGGTTATTAAAGGCATAACTAAATTTTCTCCCATTTTCCTCAAAGAAAAAAGACTCTGGTTCTTTAAATATTAATGAAAACAGGGGACCTATGGTATTGCTAAAGGAGCTCCCCTCAGAGCCAAAAGCTTAGGGACTATGCTCGAGAGATATCTGATAACTGAGTAAACTCGCTCAATACTCAGGAAAGGGAAGAAGTAGCCACCAATTCCTTCTCATGTCACTGCTGGAGATCTACCCACCATTCTCTACTCTGGGGCTGGGGCCCAGAAGAAGTCTCTCTGAGAGCCTGGCACACAAACAGGACAGCCAGAGGTAGCAAGATCCCTGATCAGGGGAGAGAATGACAGCAGACATGTGTATACAGTTCCTGCAGACAGAGACAGTGGGAGGCAGCAGTCAATGGCAGTACACCCCATCCTGCCCACCTCCAGAACTGTGGGAAGGTAGAGCAGCCATGAAATCAGATGGGAGCTTTCCTCTAGCCTTTCCTAATGGGGAGGGGATGGAGGAATGGTGCCTGGAGAGTCAAGGGTGCTGTTTATTAATAAGCAGCTCAACACAGTGGGAGGTTTTCTTGTCTAATTACAGAAGTTGTTGGAAACTGCAGGGGAGATAGGATTTATGGCCTAGATGACACTGCCTCTGTATTGTAATTAAAAGTTATTTTTAATATCTCTGTTTGGTTGGATACTTTGGATTATTAGAAATGTAATCTGCAATTTAAAACTTGTGAAAGGGCGAAGAACATAACAAACAGGTAATACAACAAGCTTGCACAATGTGAAACAATTAAATGTTTTGACACTGGAGATGGGAAAGAAAAGGAATCTCTCCCAATTAAGTCTGGGAATTTCTATAAGAAAGGGGAAATGAGAAATAAGCCAATGAGTATGTTAAACTGAAATGAGAAATAAGCCAACGAGTATGCTACTTATTTTATCCACTAACTAGGGTTGGGATACCACCCACCAGGAGTAGTGAATGGGTATTCACACCATTCACCCAAAGCACCTGATGTTAACCTTCCAGCTCCTTTCTTTGTTCCCAGTCCCTAGGAAAGGAGAGTGTCACCCTAAAAAGAGCAAATCCTGGCTCAACCACAGAGCCCCAGAGGCCAACCCCAGGGAAGTGACAGGGGTCCAACATGAGCTATGGACAATACATGCTGGATTTGTGGTTAACCCACTTCTCTTCTCTCATGCAAGATTCCAGTCTCAAGAAGGGGCCAGACACAATGAACCTTCGTGGAAACTGCACTGTGGCATCTATGAGTGGCTACAGAATCAACCCAAGATCAGGTAGGTGCCATTATGGTATTTCCTACATCCATTTTCCAGAATTTATTTCTCCATATGCACACCAGAGGCATTTTCTACAACGGAGGCTCTTCTTTAACAACAGGGAGGAGGGAATCTATCATATGTAATAGATTTTTGAAATTGCCTGGTGAAAATGGGGAGGAGGAAGGCCCTCTAACTGGCACGTGCTCCCCAGATAACTTCTTATCCACGGATATGAATCTTCTCATTAAAAGTGAATTCTAGGAGCTCATTATGTGAAATATGTCATAGGAACCACCAGACATCACACATTATGATGAGACTATAAAAGCATTTTAACATCTGTTATTCAAAAATAAATTTAATCTCAGCTTTACAAGGGCCATACCAAGGGATTTATCTTATATAGAAAAGGACTATTTTCTGTGCTTCTTTATTCTTTTCCCAGTTCAAATCAAGATCTGACTCATGCCAGGCTACAGAATCACCCTTCTTACCTGCCACATTAATTTTCTCAAGTGCTACCAAGCTGGGAACAGCAGTGGTGGAGTTGGTTGAATTTGTTCCTGTGCCATTGATGACAAGGGTGTCCACCTTCGACTCTAACTTGCCGATGCGCTGCAAAATATTATCCAACAACACAGCGAGAGTTTTCTTCAGATCTGTAAAATAAAATGCACAGTTTAAAAATTCTTAGATCACTGCATAGATGTCCACTGCACCTGCTCTCTCTTCCTCTCTCTGACATTAAGAAGGAAAAATTGCCCAGCCAGTGTTGCTCAATGGATAGAGTGTTGGCCCTTGGACTAAAGGGTCCCAGGTTCAATTTCGGTCAAGGGCATGTACCTCAGTTGAGGCTCATCCCTAGGCCTGGTTGGGGCATGTGCGAAAGGCAACCAATTGATATATATCTTTCATATCTATGTATGTGTGTGTGTCTCTCTCTCCCTCTCTTCCCCTTTCTAAAAATCAATGGAAAAATATCAAGCGAGGATTAACAAAAAAGAAAAGAAGTAGCAGAGTCAAACACTACTGCCCAAGGCCTGTCCTACCATACCATATCTTAAAGGTGACAGGACCATCTTCAAGTGATCTGAAAGCACAAAACAACGTGGTCTGTTCTAGGACCCAAGTTGGACAATGAATGACATAAATTATTTCTAGCCACTGGGCTGAAGGAGAAAACGCCTTGTTAGCATCCTACCAACACACTCTGTGAAATTCCTCCTCTTTATAGCATGATTCACTAGAGCACAGAATGACAATCCCACCAAAACCGGTTTGGCTCAGTGGATAGAGTGTTTCCTTGCAGACTGAAGGGTCCCAGGTTCGATTCCGGTCAAGGGCATGTACCTTGGTTGCGGGCACATCCCCAGTTGTGGGTGTGCAAGAGGCGGCTGATCGATGATTCTCTCTCATTGATGTTTCTAGCTCTCTATCCCTCTTCCTTTCTCTCTATAAAAAAATCAATAAAAATAAAAAATAAAAAAAAGAATGACAATCCGTAAGGGCAGCCAGGTCCTGAAGTAGTTTCTAAGTCAAGTTTGGTGTTATTTTAGTGCCCTATACTGCAGTATTTCCCAACTTTTTTGCAGTCTCTATTTCTGTTGGTTACATATGGTAACAATAAAAGCCACAGTTCCCGGATTTCTAGGCATACAGATTTAGGGAAATACTTCAAGACCAGAGGCATTCACTCGTTCAAGAACTATCTATCAAACAACTCCTGGGTGTCAGGCACTGCCTTAGATGTTAGGGATATTCCTTCATGGCACTTCCATGTAAGTGCTGACTCCCTTTCTTACACATCTGACCATGGGTAGAGTAGTACAATGCCCTCCAGACATGTCATCCTGGCATACATCAACATTCGGGGAGCTGGTATATGAGGTTCTCCAAATACACACAGAGATGAATTTAGCCCTTCTCCTCTGGAAACTCATAATCAAAGAAAGATATGCTGACTTTTAAATGTAGAAAAGCCAGAAGGACAACAGGATGCCCATCCATGTGGACAAAATCCAGACTCATTTATGAACTGGGAGTGGGCCAGTGGAACAGGAGCAGTGTAGGTACAGATGTGGTAAAGCACTGAATGCAGACAAATGGGAAGGTGCTACCTTCCACTATGCTGGGAACAGAGCAAATTCACTCTGAGCAGGTGCTCTGATCTGGCCTGGGAAGAAAGCACCAACACTAGGCATGGCCTACCAGCCTCAGCCCAGAAGCACCCAGGTGATCCCCTTCTGCCAAGCCAGCAGAGAAACTCATCAAAACACAGGCACAGATATGCAATTAGTGTGGAAGTCTGTGTGCTCAGTGGTTCACAGACGACATCATTGGAACTGATAAAAAAAAAACTACAAACAGAAAGAGAGCCCCTGTCTTAATTCTGTAAGTCTGGTTTATGTGCTTGGGGCAATCTCATCCTCCCCACCTCTCCCAAACCAAACATCAGACTTCTTCACAATGGTAAGATCATAGCAGTCTGTTCATTCATTAATTCTAACAAATATCCAACCTGGCTTAATTTTTGCCTTCAGTATGCCTAGTACCTGCAGGCAATAACCTATCCATGGCATTAGAGCAATAGGGCCAAAAATTTGGTTGTAACAAAGAAAGGCAGAAGAGAACTAACATTTTCTGAAGGCCTACCATGTGCTATGCACATGTACATATATACATACACACATGTATAAACATATATACATACATGTATACATATGTGTGTATGTGTACACACACACACATTAGAGACCCGGTGCACAAAATTCATGCATGGGGGCAAGGGAAGTGTCCCTCAGCCCAGCATGCACCCTCTTCAATCTGGGACCCCTCAAGGGATGTCCGACTAAATGGGCAGTCAGACATCCCCCTCACAATCCAGGACTGCTGGCTCCCAACTGCTTGCCTGCTTGCCTTCCTGATTGCCCCTAACTGCTTCTGCCTGCCAGCCTGATCACCCCCTAACCAGTCCCATGCTAGCCTGATTGATGTCTAACTGCTCCCCTGCCAGCCTGTTTGCCCCGAACTTCCCTCCTCTGCCAGCCTGGTCACCTCTAACTGCCCTCCCTTACATGCCTGGTGCCTCCCAACTGCCCTCCCCTGCTGGCTATCTTGTGGCAGCCATCTTGTGACCACACAGGGGCAGAATCTTTGACCACATGGGGCAGCCATCTTGTAATGTTGGAGTGATGGTCAATCTGCATATTACTCTTTTATTAGATAAGATAGAGGCCTGGTGCATGGGTGGGGGTCAGCTGGTTTGCCCTGAAGGATGTCCTGGATCGGGGTGGGGGTTCCTTTGGGTGTGGGGCAGCCTGAGCGAGGGGCCTGTAGTGGTTTGCAGGCAAGCCACACCCCTTAGGGACCCAAGCGGAGGCCCTAGTATCTGGAATTTATTTACCTTCTACAATTGAAACTTTGTAGCTTGGAGCGAAGCCAAACCTCCTGCTTGCTCCCTGGTAGCCATTTCTCTTGGGACTTATGTATCTTCTATAATTAAAACTGTAGCTTGGAGTTGACACCTGGGCAGACCAGGATGTACAGAAATCTTTGCTTCTTCCATTGCCAGGGTAACCCTAGCCTCGCGCTCTTTCCAGTTTCCAGCTCCGTGGCTGCCACCATTTCTGCTTGGATTTGTTTACCTTCTATAATTGAAACTTTGTAGTCTTGAGTGGAGGCTTAGCCTGGGAAGGGCAGGCAGAAAGCTTGGCTTCTTCCATTGCCTGGGAAACCCAAGCCTACCTCCTGCTCTCTGTGGCTGTAGCAATCTTGGTTGGATTTTGCATACTTGCTCTGATTAGCTGGTGGGCGTGGCTTGTGGGTGTAGTGGAGTGATGGTTAATTTGCATATTACTCTTTTATTAGGTAGGATGATATGAAATTCCATAATATGTCCATATTCTCCATGAGACATGTATGACTTCATTTTACAGATGGGAAAACTGAGGTTCACAGATATGAAGTAATGTGTTTGTGGTTACAGAGATAACTCAGAGGTGAGTTAAATAAATGTGTGATCAAATACAGCAGGCTATTTTTTAAATTGATAATTGTATATGGCCCATGAATGATGTTATAAATACCCAAATGGGCCTGGGCAGAAAAAAGATTCCCTTTCCCTGGCAGCGTGGTTAAGGGCCCACTCTTTGGAGTCAAACTTCCTAGGTTTGAGTCTTCACTCTCCTCTCCTGTTTTCTTACCTGTAAAGGAATGATAATAATAACCCTGCCTCTTAAAGCAGTTATGAAAGTCTAATGAGTTAACACTTATACAATACTAGAGGCCCGGTGCATAAAAGTTCATGCATTGGAGGGGAAGTCCCTCAGTCTGGCCTGCACCCTTTCACAGTCTGGGAACCCTCAGGGGCGGGAGGCATCCTTGTGATCAGGGAAAGGTAACACCCCATCACACCTCTGCTGCTGCCACTGCTGGCAGTGCAAGCTTTGGCTGGCCCTGTGTGGCTGGGAGGCTGAGGGTACTGGGGGACTCTGGAAGCAGGCACGCAGGGCGGGCCCAGTCTTGCCACGCACCTGCTGCCCCAGGAGGGCTAAGGGGACTGGGTGCCACCATCTTGTGGCTGTGGGCACTGCCATCTTTGAGGGTATGGCAGTCAATTAGCATATTCCCTCCTTATTGGCAGTGGGTGCCGCCATCTTTGAGAGCAGGGCAGTCAATTAGTATATTACCTCCTTATTGGCTATGTGCCAGGCCATCTTTGAGGACGGGCAGTCAATTAGCATATTCCCTCCTTGTTGGCTCTGGGGCACCACCATCTTTGTGATGGTGGGAGGGTCAATTAGCATATCCCCTCTTTATTAGATAGGATTTTAAGACTTCCTGGCAGATAAAAGACTCTACATAAGTACCTGCTAAATATGTAAATAAAAAATAAAGCCATCCTCTGAAATATGCTTCCTGAAGAAACCTCCCCATGGGTGAGGTGAAGCTTTACCACTATCCAAAGTCTCAGATGGCTCTCCTCCAGGGCTGCAGTCCCAGTCTATATGACTCAGTCTGTACCAGGCACATCATGAGCTGGCACGGCCAGTGGCAGTCAGCCACCAGTTCTGCTCTTATGCTGACCTGAGGCAGGCACAGGTTCTCTAAGGTTCTGAGGACTGCCAGAGACCAGCCACATAGATGAGAGCTGCAGTGCCACAATGAGCCCCAGTACAAAGAGACTGCTCCTTAGAAAAAGACATCTAGCTCCTCCATCTCCAGCCTCTTTACCTGTCTTGCCAGCCAGGGAGTCCCTGTGTAAAACGGCATTTAACTACTGCCTGCTAGTTCATTTGGGGTAACTCAGGGTTTCTTAGCTTCAGCTTTACTGACTGACACTCTGGGCCAGATCATTCTTTGTTGTGTGGAGCTATCCTGTGATTTGTGGGGTGTTTGATGGCATCCATAGGTTCTAGCCATTAAATGATGGTAGCAATACCTCCACTGCGACAACCAAAAATGGCTCCAGACATTGCCCAAGTCCCTTGTGGAGTAACATTTCCCCCATTTGAGAACCACTGAATTAGGCAAATCCTCTCCACTCTTTTTTCACTACTGCCTCTCCTTCTGTGGAGATACCAAGAGAGAAGTCTGACAGAGGGGTATAGGAACGTGAATGGGAATAGGAGAAGCCACCCACTACACCTGCATCTGCTGA